CAAAAGCCCCCCCCCCCTCGGTGCGTTTGTTTTAATTTTTTTTTTTTTTTTTTTGTCCCCTGGTGTTCCTCCAGATGAAGCAGGGAAAGGAATGCACTGGGATGTGAACTGAGGGGCACAGAATCCCAGCATGACAGGGGCTGGCAGGGCCCTCTGGGGATCACCCAGTGCCACCCCCCTGCCCAAGCAGGCTCACCCAGAGCAGGGGGCACAGGACAGCATCCAGGCGGGGGGTGAAGATCTCCAGAGAAGGAGACTCCACAGCCCCCCTGGGCAGCCTGGGCCAGGGCTCGGCCAAGCAGCAGCTTGTTTTCAAGGGCCGCTGGTGGGGTCAGGAGGCTGCTGTGTACCTGGATTTGTCAGTGAAAGTAAGGGTGAGTTTCTCCTGGACACCATGGCCCTGGTGCCCCAGAACACCCAGGGTGACCCCAGCACACATGGGCACTGCAGGGCAGGTAATGGGGTGCTGCTCACCCTGACTGGCTCCTGGGACTTGTACCTCAGGCAGCCCCTGGTGCTGTTGGCCTCGCCTCCATCTGCCCTGGCACGTACCTGCTCCCACAGTGGGCCTCACTTCTCCCTTGGGCATTCTCAGGTCCTTCTGTGCCACTCTGAACGTGTTCAGTGCCGGCAGGGTGCAGCAGAGGAAGGAGCGTGGTGAAGGGAGCAAATCCTCAGCAATTTTGTAGCGCAACCACAGGTAACGATGGACAAGAACACCAAGGTTTCCCAGTGGTTTCTAAAGTGATCTTGTTTTTAAACAGCCGTTTGGCCTAAGCAGTGTGAATCTGCAAAATATGGTAAGTTGTTTCCCAGACTTTCCTGCTGGATAATGGGGAGCTGTGGGCTGGCAGCAGCTGTGGGGGGAACCTTGGAAGAGGACTTGGCTGGGCTGAGGGCAGCTCTCTCCTCTACAGGCCGTTCCACAGAGCAGGCGAGCAGCCGTGGCGTCTTCCCAGCAGACCTGGCACCCCCAGAAGGGGACAGCGGGCGCTCTGGTGTCACCGCGACACTCCAGACCTGCGGCTGAAGTCAATCTCTGTCTTTCTGAGCGGCGGCCGTCTTTGCAGCGCACTGGTGAGCAGGAGCTGTTCCTCGGAGCTGGGGAGAGATGCAGAGACCAGCTTATGAGTAAGAACCCACCCCTAAAATAAAGGTGTTGTCCCTTGACAGATTTTAGCGGCTTGCGCTGGGTTTTTGATTTGCAAAGACTTTTTCTGAGGCGGGGCATGGCGCGATAGCTGGAGGAAATGCTTTGGGTGTTTGGTTTAGCGGTGGGATGGCAGGGTTAGGGTAACGGTTGGCCTTGGTGATCCTAAAGGCCTTTTCCAACCCAAACGATTCTGTTTGCTGTTCCCTGTTGCCGGTCCCTGGGCAGCCGGCTGGGGAATGCAAAGGCTGCGGGCAGCGTGGGAGGTGGCGTGGCAGGCAATTCCTCTGCGAGGCAGGCGCGCTCTCTCACGGCCGGGCACACCCCGAGCCCGAGGAGAGGTGCGGCTGAGTGCCTTGTTTGGTGTTGTGCAGTCAGAGTTTTGCAGTGGTGTTTTTTCTTCTCCGCAACGGGAGGTTTTAGAGAAGGGTAACTGGGGATTGATTAGCTTGGCGCCCAGGAGCCTGGCGGAAGCGTGGTGAGAGCCCTGGGGTGGCGTCGAAGGTAGAAGGAGTGGGAGGTTTGTGGTGTGGGAGAGGCAGCAGCGCAGGCGAGAGAAGGCAGCCGAGCCGCCGCGTCAGTGCCCACAGGGAGCGGTGCCCAGCCCCACTGGGCAGGGGGGTGTAGCTCAGGGGTAGAGCATTTGACTGCAGATCAAGAGGTCCCCGGTTCAAATCCGGGCGCCCCCTCCCCTTTTCCTTCCTTGTGTCCACAACACCAAGTTGGTTTGCAGCTCCTTATTCCAATGCTTTTCCCCCAAACTGTCTGCAGGCCCCGTCCTCCGTTTGATGGGCCGCTGGGGAGAAGCAAAGCAGTAGGTTCCCAGGAGAGTGGAGAACCGTCAGCACAATGTTGGTGAGGAGAGGGCCGAGCGTTTTGTGCGGAGCTGCTTTTTGCCCTGGGATTAATTTGTGGAATGTTGCGGTGGAGATGGCCGGGGAGATTCCTGGCAAGCAGGTAGGCAGCAGGCAGGGGGTATAGCTCAGTGGTAGAGCATTTGACTGCAGATCAAGAGGTCCCTGGTTCAACTCCAGGTGCCCCCTCTTTAGTTGCTTTTTCACCCTTCCTTTTCATGCCAGAATTTGCCTCCGAAGGAAGATGGGGAAGATCCTCCTGGGTCTCGGCAGGTTGTGCTGTGCAGGGAAGGCTGCTGGCTGAGCTTCAGCGTTCCAGGAACTGAGGCTGTGGCCACTGGGAGACGGCAGGGGTTATGCACTGTGCAAGTAGCTACTCCCTGCCTGTGTGTACTCATCTCTGTTTCTTATTCCCTGTCTTAATTCTCTGCACAAACTTCATCAGGCACATCAAGAGGGGTCTTTCAAGTGAAGGAATGTAAGCTGTGGTGGATGTAAGTGCTTGTCTGTCTCTCGAAATGTTTTAAAATGCCCTTGGGAAGGGTGCAGAGCCAGGGGGTATAGCTCAGTGGTAGAGCATTTGACTGCAGATCAAGAGGTCCCTGGTTCAACTCCAGGTGCCCCCTTTGCTTTGGGCTTTGTCCAGGAAAAGGTACGAGGAGCATTCATCAGTTTTTAGTGCGCAGCACACCGCAGGGAGGTCATTGAGCTTCTCTATTCAAGATACGGGGCCCTCGACCGAACACTTCCCATGAGAATCAATATCCCCGTCAGTGATGAAGCAAAGACAGAAAGTTTGTTGCTTGGCCCTAGTAGCAGCTGTTTTGGTCAACGAGGAAACTCGTGGGGATCTCGATTGTGTGCATTAGATCCTGTGTGTGCGTATTTGTCTCCAGAGTGTCTGCAGTAACTTTCTGTGGCACAATTTTGCTTGTGCATTTGCATGCACAAGAGGGTGCTGTCATACAGAAGACTCTAAGCAGTGGTCACAAAACCTGACCTATATATTAAGTTTTTTATGGGTCCTTGCACAAGTGCTGGCCCAGGGGGTATAGCTCAGTGGTAGAGCATTTGACTGCAGATCAAGAGGTCCCTGGTTCAACTCCAGGTGCCCCCTCTTTAGTTGCTTTTTCACCCTTCCTTTTCATGCCAGAATTTGCCTCCGAAGGAAGATGGGGAAGATCCTCCTGGGTCTCGGCAGGTTGTGCTGTGCAGGGAAGGCTGCTGGCTGAGCTTCAGCGTTCCAGGAACTGAGGCTGTGGCCACTGGGAGACGGCAGGGGTTATGCACTGTGCAAGTAGCTACTCCCTGCCTGTGTGTACTCATCTCTGTTTCTTATTCCCTGTCTTAATTCTCTGCACAAACTTCATCAGGCACATCAAGAGGGGTCTTTCAAGTGAAGGAATGTAAGCAGCGGTGGACATAGGAGCTTGTGTGTGTCTCAAAATATTTTAAAATTGTCCTTGGAAGGGTGCAGAACCAGGGGGTATAGCTCAGTGGTAGAGCATTTGACTGCAGATCAAGAGGTCCCTGGTTCAACTCCAGGTGCCCCCTCTTTAGCTGCTTTTTCACCCTTTTCTTCTTTCCCAATCCCCTCACAGAGGGACTATGGAGAGACTTCTTACCCCTCTGAGGTCTTGGAAAGAGATTTGACCCTCCTTTGCCGAGCAGTGAAATCGTACTTTGTAGTTTGCCCCTCTCTTCTCCTGGAGGCTGCAGGTACCCAGGGGAATAAGCTGGTCGGCAGAGGTGCTGCTGGTCTGGTTTTTCCTGTTTGAGCACTGCCCTGACTGTAATCACTGAAGAAGGTGTGTCATGGCTTCCTAGAGGCAGGGCCCTCTGCGGAGATG